TTCGAGGACACCAACCTGTGCGCCATCCACGCCAAGAGGGTGACCATCATGCCCAAAGACATCCAGCTGGCCCGCCGCATCCGCGGGGAGCGCGCTTAGACACGGACCGCCTGCTGCAGCATCTTTTCCCTTGAACACAAAGGCTCTTTTAAGAGCCACCACAACACTCGAGAGGGTTACATTATTCCATTAGTCTGTAGGAGTTACAATTCTTGTTTGGTTAGCTGATAAGTGTAACCCGTAACCATTTTCTGCCCCTCGTGTAAAAGCCCATTAAAAGTTTTTAAATGCGTGAGAGTATTTTAATGATAGAAGAGCGATTGGCATTCAAACCCCTCCCTTACACTACTGTTTATTTTCAGAGTTCGGTGTCTGTTCACAATTAAGCAACAGCACGCTTACTGGTCCCTCCATCGCTCTTCATTTCACCCCAGAAGAAGCATTTGTACTGCAGTACAGATCTGTGAGGACCACTGTATAGAGATTTCAATGACATGATTAAGGAACGTTTATACAGTTACTTTAAGTGGAACATTTCTTTTCAAGCGTTTTAGAAGACGACCTTATATAAAACATTTTTGTTTTTTTTAACGGCTGGATTTTTTATTCAATTATTCAAAACGGGTGGAGAACGAAATATGTACTGCTACAACGATGAATGTCTTTTGTCAGTTATTCATGACCCTCATACACAGTAGTACACTACATTTTCCTTTCCGAATTCTGTTTTTGTATTGGAATTAGATCGATTATAATCTACACGGGAATACAAGAACGACTGGCATTAATCCCCTTACACTTTATTTTATTAAAATTTTATTTTGTGGTCCGTCCACCGCTCTTCATTTCGCCCCAGAAGAAGCATTTATACTGCAGTACAGATCTGTGAGGACCACTGTGCTCACTAGCCATGAACTTCAGACAGTACATGTGATAGAGATTTCAATGACATGATTTAAGAACTTTTCTACAGTTACTTTAGGAGGAACGTTTCCTTTTCAGCGTCTTAAAAGACGTCCTTATATAAAACATTTTTGGACTTTTTAACAGCTGGATTTTTTATTCAATGATACAAAAGGGGTGGAGAAAGAAATATGTACTGCTACAACGATGAATGCCTTTTGTCAGTTGTTCATGACCCTCATACACAGGTGCATTGTGTTGTTTTTTTACCACTTACCGTCTAAGGGCTAGCTAAATAGCATTTCGCTATTCCATTTACCTGTGTATGAGAATAATGATGATAAGCGCCAAGCGCCAGGGCCGCACCCTGTACGCCTTCGGAGGCTAAACAGGAGCGGAGCTTCACTATCGGACCCGACCCCGACGTATAAACCCAAAGGCTCTTTTTAGAGCCACCCACGTTTTCAGAAAATAAGGAGCTGAAATCTGTTTTGTGAATATAGAAGGGGTTTGTCCTTTGAATGTCTACACCGAAAAGCAAGGAAACAAACGTTTTCTTCTAATTTTGTGCTTCTTTAGTTAATAAGCGTAAGTGCTTATTATAAGACATACATTTTATGAGTGTTCCTAGAAATGCGTTCAACATGGTCGAAAATCGCAATTAAGCCATGAGATCAGATTGGGGTTCACGCATGTATTATGGCTTTTAAGAGGCTTTCTTCTGCTTCATTTGCAAAGAGCCATTCTCCAAAATGTTGGTTTCTAGAAAGGGTTCTTGTGCTCAGACTAATTTGAAACCAGTGCCGAAATGCTCTTGGCTGTTAAAGAGTGAATATCGCCATAACTGCTTTTGACTCCCAAGTTTGCACAAATCGCAGTTTCTGAGCACATTGTTTAGTAGTATCACAGAATCCTTTGTTCCTGTGTGCGCGGGCGGAAGGGAGAGAGAGGCGCCTGGAGTCAGAGCGAGCGGCTCAGGCGCTCAGCCGTTTGAATTTCATTGGCGGAGAGCGCAGCCAATAGGAGAGCAGCTCTCTGCTGACCAATGAGCCGCCTTCTCAGCTGAGCGAGCTGATTTGCATGCGGCCGCTATAAATAGGGGGCTGTAGGACTCAACAGTTTTCATAACTGTTTTTACTAAGTGCAGTTTGTGAAGATGCCTGAACCAGCGAAATCCGCTCCTAAGAAGGGATCCAAGAAAGCCGTGACCAAGACGGCCGCCAAGGGCGGCAAGAAGCGCAGAAAGACCAGGAAGGAGAGCTACGCCATCTACGTGTACAAGGTGCTGAAGCAGGTGCACCCGGACACCGGCATCTCGTCGAAGGCCAT